GTTCCAGATTCATGTTCACGGCCTCCCCACAATAGCGACATCTTCTTGTCTTCGTTGTTGTTCAAAGGGGGCGGTTTCTTGTCCTCAGAGCAACCAGTTTTGGACCCTTTTGAGCGGATAAGGAAGATTTATATGCAAAACCCAGTAACCGCCACCAATTTGTTTGTCTCTGCCGTGCTCCCTTCTCGACTGGGGATGACGACGACGATGAAGAGGAACACGAGGACGAGGACGAGGACGGCGTCGAGACAGAGAAGGCTCAGAAGTCCGAGAAAGAGCCGCGAGCCCGGTGCGACGCGGGCAAGACATGCCTCTGCAACAAGCCTGCCGAGGAACATCCGGATCATGTATGGTACGTACTGCGGACACAACTGGCCCGGTTGAACTGCACTCCAAGGTAGTAGCAGTTCCAAGAGGACTATATCGACTAACATGGTTTACAGGAAGCTGTCGGCTGCAGGAAAGCACAGATTCTTCGACCTGCGTGCCTATTGTGCGTTGCGAAACCCGGACTGCTTCCGCATGTACACGTCAATGACCACTCGATGTACGGCGTCCTCGAGGTCATTCAGATTCTCATCCTCGATTTCGACGAGGCAGCAGGCGACTACAAAGAGCAATGGGCCGTCTGTGAGGCGCTTGCCTTCTTCCTCCAGGACGAGGGAATGGAACTGACGCAGTATGTCCAACTCCCACTGCTTCCCCCGTCTCTTGTGTCTCTCACTCTCCTACTAATCAGGTACTGGCAAATAGGATTGAGGACGGCGACCTCGCTGATGCGACCTTCTTGTTCTGCGGTCGTATGTTCATGTCCATGCCGGCTACTTTGGAGCGCGAGCACCTCTTAAAGAAGGACTCGGAAATTAAGAACCTGGGCCAGATCATGTCCCTATTCAAGGACATAGCGATCGCACTAAGGAATTACGGTATTCTGGAAGACAGCAACAAGGAAGCGTTGGGTCCCGTCTCCGACAAGAAGTCTTGGATTCCCCACGCCTATGAGAACCAGATCTACGCCTATGCTCTCAAGTATGGAATCGAGCTGGTTCCAGTAGGGAAGGGGTCCAGGGCCACCAGCGAGCTCAAAGGAGACAGCGATCTCCCCGTTCCGGAGTCCAACACTGGAGGAAAAGCTGACCCGTTCAACTGAGCATCGGCCCTGAGGAAGTACAAGAGTAAACGTGGAGGAACTTCGAGCTGGTTCGCGCAGATGTTCACCAAGAGAACTTCGAAGACCCCCATTGGGGGCGACCTCTTGGACATCACCACCTGGAGCAGCAGCGAGCGCAAGGCCAAGAACTTCAACAAAAAGGACCCCCTTGGCAAGAAGGAGCTCGATGCCCTCAAGCAGGGCATGGTCATGTCGTGGGAATAAGTAGAAGTGCCGCCCCGTGGACGTTCGTTGGGTTGTTGTTTGATTGGCGTGCTCTTTGTGCTGTCTATGGTGTGCGTTTGGCACGGGGCCAAATTTGTTCCTTGATTTATAGATTGGATTGGTTCCAAGTAAACCTGCAAAGGTCGGTAAACAGAGATTCCCTAGCAGTACTCACCTTACCTACCTTACCTAGGGGAGTACTGGCGCTTCACCTATGTACTGTACAAAAATGGAACATGTCGCAACCCGCTTACGGTAAACTCACTAACCCAAGGTACCTACACTTTTGCTAAACGGTATAGCGACAAGCTCAAGCATTGGTAGGTCCTTGACTTGGGTGATACTATCAGCGCGTGAACTAAAACGCAAGGCGCTCAGGGGGTGAGTGGATTGGGGAAGATCATTCCCATCCCAGAGGACCCGGACTAGGTAAGGACCGTAAGGTCGGGAGTGGCCATCAACGCTGTCCGTCAAGTCAACAGCAGTAGGTACCTACGGTACGTTACATAGGGCTCCGGCTAGCTATGAACTTGAAGCGTCCAAAGATAAGAAATATACCAGACCCAGCAAGTGTGTACAGATGCCTAGGCTGTCACGTTATCACAGAGGGCCCCTAATACTGGCCCGATATAGCCCTTGTCTATCAAGAGAGCCTCGTGTGGTTAAGTTCTGATGAATTATAGGGGGTTATACAGCTGGTGTAGCCATGTCCAACGAGATTCGCAGGACAACTTACCTAACCGCTGCCAATTAGGCACCTAGACTGGTGGAGCGATGACCCCAGAGCGAGCAAGGAGCGAAACAAAGCCCAACAAAGCCCAACAGAGCCCACCCCGCCCAAATGCTCTTCCTGACCTCACTATTCTATCATTTGTTCAAGTCAGGTATGTCGCAAACCAGCCCAGACATCATTCCTCGCCGTACATTCGACAAATGCCAGAAAACTGGAAGCATCGCGACTCGATAATCGTACCCTTACCCAAGGTAGTAATGTTTCGAGCACTTCGAGAAGTCGGTCGCGCAGTCCGCAACACAGTTGCAGAAGGAATACATCAGTACGAGCAGCAGCAGCAGCAGCACCAGCGTCAACAATACAACACCTTTCCACAGGGAGGCTACTACAATAATACAACCCTTGTTCCATACCGTGGGCAAATCCCCCAACCTCCCCCGTCGTCATGGCCGCTCCTTATTGAACCCGACAAGACTACGCCAACCTTCCTGTTCTCCCGTTTGCTTGACGCCATCTTCGCCCTTGCGCAATCTGCCGACACCAATACGGCATCCCAGGAGCTCCTAACCCCCACCCGCCTAGCCGCAGTCTATGACGAACTCGGTTACCCACCGGAGGACAACTTAGCCTTTCTCCTCTTCCGCGACGCGTAGAACACGGGAGACATGGCAAGACTCAACGAGGGAATCCAAATGGCCTGGCGAATCTTCGGACTGGAGTATACCACCACGACGCAAAACACGCCCGGCTTGACGAGGAAGGGATTCCGGGACCTGATGGTGCGCAACGCCATAATGTACCCGCCCGGTCAAGCTCGCGCGTACGACATGCTGCTGGCCAAGCACAGGGCCCGGCTTGTTGCGCTCGGGGCGATGCTTCCGGCCGGGGAGATCGCAATGGAGTGCTTCATGCCTGCTGGGATCCCCGCGACGGGGGACGGGGAGACACAGAGGGTTTATAGGGAGCAGCAGGCGAACTGGGTGTGGGAGTATAAAGCGCGGTTTACGATCGCTCATATGGGGTGTTTGGCAGGAGGGGCCAGGGAGCCCGCCGGAGGTTGGGGGTTGGCTATGCAACTGGAGAATTTCAAGCATAACATGACTATGGATGCCCTGGGCCCGGGTTATAGAGAGCCTAATGGATCGGTGGGTATACCATTCACTATACGGGTGGACTAAGTTGGTAGCCTTCGTTGCAGCAGATATGAGAGCTGCAAGGCTACGTCTTTTGACATAGGTGTGTGTTAAATAACTTCAATGTAACCTGCATCATGCAGGCAAAGGGAATAGGTACCTACAGTAGTCACGGCATAACCGCAGTGAAATTTCTCATTTCAACACTACTATTAATATCTTCTTTGCCAAGATATGTCCACGTTCAATGTACAATTCAGACTTAACGGACTGATTTCCCTCTTCTTCCTGTTACAAGTACTAGACATTACTCCTTGGCATCTTTAGCGGCCGCCCATTCCTTTTCCGCCTCCCCATACCGATCCCAAAACTCCTCCTCCCACTCGGAGGCGTCGCCTTGCGCAGTGGAAAGCTCACCCGCTAGGTGCACAACAGCCGTGTTGTTGGGATCAACCTTTTCTGGCTTCGGTTCGCGTTCGTCGATTTCCTTCCTCAATGCCGAGGATTTTCCCCTGCCAGCTCGGAACACGGCGCCTTTTACGCTGTATATCTCCTTGAGCCGTAGCCGCAGTTGAGCCGGCTCTGGGGGTTGCTTGTGCCTTTCACCAGAGCCGACGTGGAGGTACTCGGGATCAATGAGTTGGTATTGAGCCGCCCAGATGGCGGTGCCTGGGAATGTTTGCTTCCTGTACTGACCCCGACCAACATTGACCGTCATGCCCATGCCAAGGGGGACGCCTAGGAGGGCCAGGATTTCAGACGCAACACCGACCTCGCCAGATTTATTACTTGTTTCCCAAGTGAAACTCGTGCAGTCGTCAAATTCGTATACCCCGGTGAGCATCCAGATCTTTGGCCGCCATAGTACTGGTGCCAACTTCCTGATGATATATTCGTGTGTCGATACAGACAGCCACTTCCGTACCGTTTCCCTCGTGGACTCAGCTGCCAGGACCTGGTGGAAGAGAAAATCTTCGGGCCTTTTACATTAGTTACAGGATTAGTAGTGGGAATTATGGGATCCTGTACTACTCGACAGGTACCTATCCATACTAGACAGCGAAAGAAAGTTAAAAGTGCTGGACTCACTTCTTCAGCGTGATTCATCTGCAAGTCTTAGATGCTTCGGCATGTCCATTACCGTTCCCCCGAGATATCCCAACGTTAGCGAAGTCAATCGCCGTCCCCGAAACCCCAAAATCTAGTATGGAGTCCGTGGAGTAACAGAAAGGAGATCTTGGTTGAACGTTCACCCATTTGTTGAGATCGGCCTCTCTGGAATCGTAGGTTGTTTTGTAAGTGACGTTAACCGAATAGGGTTGGGGGTCATGGAGTTTGCTCACCCGAGTGGCTCCATGGGACACTTGCGTCCTCTCGTTGGTTTGGCATACGTACCGAACACTAAATGACCGAGGTAGAGCTCTTGCGGCTGGTATCCATCCCTATAGAGGAAGAAGGTAAGCTCGTCCCTGCTAGGCATATTCTTCTGGGATTTGCCTGGGTTTGTTTATGGCTAGACGCGGCGGTTGCGGTGGTTGTTTTGTTTTGAAAATGCATGGTTCGAAATTGCGAGGAGGAGCAAAGCGGTGAATGTATCAAAGCTGGATGATGGCGGTGGCGCCTGCCGTGAATCAGAGAAACGTCATGATGTCGAAAGAATCGTTCCCGTAGGTATAGCAGCTAACACTGCTTTCGGCGCTTTGTAACACGTATATGTCGGATTGCGGATGTTAATTACATGTCTCTGACGATGTGGCCTACCTCTGTTGCAAACTTGCAACCATGGCCCGTGGGGACCAGCTGGAGCTGACGCCCAAGTTCAAATAAGAGGCAGTTGCAAGGTCCGAGACATTGCACTGCGCAAAGGGTCGCTACGACAAGTCTCAGTCACTACAATTATGTGGGCTGATGACATGGGACTCGGCGGTGGATGCAAGTCTCGTGAATACCCCTGCGCAGTCTAAGCAAGCACTCAATAATGGACTATGCAACACTATCCCGGCTGTTGGGTGGAGTGATATTCTCCGACGAGTACCGCGGAGACCTGGGGGATATCGAGTCTCGTTGTATCGAAGAAGAAACCCGTCTCATGGAGTCAGCTTCCGCGGAGGATAGGCAGGCCGCTACATTGCTCAAGGCAGCCCGTTTCATCTTCGTTGGAAATCTGCGGAAGGCCCATGCAAATCTTGAGCGACTTCTAGATGAAGGCAGCCTGGATCCACGGTTCAAAGCTCGTTGTTACGCTTACCGGTTTTACCTAGACTGCGTCAAGCGGCTGCCTCTTGTCCTTCGGTTTCGCCCTCATTCCGGGGACTCGGCATTCCTCCTCCTTGACTCTGAACTTCAACTTGTTGACCGCCTCAGGACTCTTGAAACTTCGAGACGGGATCTCACTGAGATGGAGTACCTAGAGTCCCTACTCCTCGGGCGCACTCTAGCACTCGACACCGCCCGCCAGGTGGCATTCTCGGTACACCCTCAACACCCTCCCAGCATTGTCCAGGATACTGCACCACTGGATCCGAGAACTCTCCTCGGCGATATCAGTAGCCTGCCCGTTATTCTCCACCTGCCAACTACAAGGCTGTACCTCAATCGAATGGACCTTGAGCTGCGACTGGCAAGGGATTCGCACGAGTCCCAGAGCATGTTGGCGAAGCTCCTGCATGCCTACGAATCTGCCACAGATCTGGGTGGCATGGCAACTTGTCTCTTGATGAAAGCTGATGGAATCGTCTCGCGCCCTTTCACTAGTCCCTTGGCAATGGGCTTAATCTGCGAATTAAAGACCGAAGGCTGGTCCAATCTACCTGGGACGCGTCAGAGCATTCATTCCTTCTTCACGATGACAAACGAGCCCAGGACCTTTACGAGGAATCGGAATTCCTGTATGAAGCAGCCAACTGCCCTCGCGGTCAAGCTGCTGTTCTTCTCCGTCGAGGCTGTATCCAATATGCGGTGGCCATTTCCACTTCGGGCTCACGGACGCGCACATCGGACTCGGACAGTCGTATAAAAGCTTTTCAGGAAGCGAGCTGCTGTTCCGTAAGGGCAGCCGAGCTTTTCAACGGTGATATTGTGAGCAGTCTGCTGGTCCGATGCCACCAGATTCTCTTGGCTATCAGCTCGCGAGATAGCGGTGAGCTTGGGGACAACGTCATGGAACAAGAGCGGGACTTTGTCAGCGCATCTCGGGACCTAGGGTGCGATGCTTATGACACAAGCAATAGCGGGGCGGCGCACTTCATGGGAGTCTTGATGCTACGATTTGGGCGTTGGAGATTCGTTGCGGACAAAGACGTCCGGACTGCCCTCGCTTGCTGCGCCTCGGCTCGGGCATTGTTCGCAGGGGCAAGGGAGTCATTCTTGGAGCTCCAAGCACTTCTCGCCCATGCCAGTCTTTTGCACGAGTTGGGAAAGATGGTACGGGCGGAGATGAAAATAAATGAAGGTCGAGGGCCCGAGGGGCTTCTGGCTAGCGTTCTTGGTCGCATCGCCAACACGTGCGACAGCTCAGACAAGACCAACGCACAGCGAGCTATGAGATTCAACACGATCAAAGGTTTTGACCTGATTGCCACTCGCATCTACCAGGCGACGGGAAACTATACCATGCTCAATGGGTGGGTGCACGAAAGAGACCGACTTGCGCCACTAGGAACCGGGACGGCTCAGCAGGAGATTGAAGACCTATTCCATGGCTTTGCTTCACTGGCGCTCGGGTCACCCAACCACGACCCAGCGCCGCCAGGCGAGACAAACATAGTCAACGAAATCGTGTCGCCATTACTCTCGCAAGATCAACTGGTGGCGGAGTACAACCGCACAATGAACAGGGTATACGCCGCCTTGGATGATGCTGATGTAGCGGAATGGCAACGCCTTTTACGCGAATATGTGCGGCAACTTGAACACAGTACTACTGCTCTGCCGAGGGCGCCTCGCGACCAAATTGCGGTATACAAACTGATCGCCTTATCCCTGCTCGGCGACCCAGACGAAGCAAGGGCAACTTTGCCCACTGCCTTGCCCTGGCAGTTCACCAGGCCAACGGATAATGTTTCATATGACGTGCTGGAGGGGTTCATGGTGGCACACGCGCCGCCACACATGGCTCCCTGGATGCGCCACCAGCAGGTGGCCGCTGCGGACCGAGCAATATCCTATTGCATTCTCGCTCGGGACTGGGTTCGTGGCGCCGAGGTGATGTCCAGGGTAGTCGCTGCTCTGCCGGAGTTCAACGACCCACACTCTGTCGCGCTCGGGTCCAACACCTGCCAAACCCTAACCTTTATTGCTTTGATATATGAGCACAATGAACAGCCTTTGAGAGCTCTGAAATTGTACCTCTGTGCCCTTTCGCAGTTGGAGAGACTGGCCACTGCCGCAGATGCCGAGGTCCGTCGCGGGTGTCACTCCTCTATTCATAGCGGAGAGTTATTTGCTGGGCTAACAAGAGTCTGCCTTGCCCTGGAAAGGGACCGAGGATCAGGTTGTTTGGGATTGCCAGCTATCAACCTTCCGCAGCACCACGGATTGCCCGGTCCGTCGTGGACAGACCAGGCCCTTACCTTTGTTGAACGCGGAAGGGCTAGGGCACTGCTAGACTTTCTCGTGACGAAGGAGAACCTAGATCCTAGAAATGTCACGGAGTGGGCGGCTTATGCACAGCGGACATATCGGGACCATATTCTCACTGGCGGAATCGGTGACGGTATGGCATACGATGAAGTTGCTGCGAGGCTCAGCCAGCGCGGAAGCAGAGTTGAAATCAGGAGCGACGACGATGTTCGTACCGCCCTGTCAAGATTGGAGGCCGAGGAGCTTGCATCAAGCTTCATGTTCAATCTTGCCAAGCCTGCACCGAGTGCCGAAGCTTTATTCAAGAGCATCGCCGAGGACACCGTTGTGTTCGAGATAAGCTCAAGCAGGCAGGGCCTCACTGTGCTCGCTGTTACGCGAGAAGGCATCATTGCAAGTTACCAGAGTGACCCGACTGACATCCAACTCCGGTCCCTCGTTCTGAATTACACCAAAATTGTGCGGGAGAGCGTCGGGGACGCAGAGGACGAGGAGGCTTTGCAACATATTGCTGAAACCATATCCAAGGAGATATTGGAGCCGCTCGGACACACATTGCGCAACAACGAGGCTGCTGTCTTCGCCCCTTCACACACCATGCAACTCTTCCCCTGCGCCGCTCTGCTTCTTAATGGGACATCCCTGTTCCTCCACAAGGTTGTCTACGTTATCCCGAGCCTGTCGGTCCTCTCCCACCTTATCGATCGGCGCACAAGGAGGGCTGCTCCTACGACGGCCACACGGAGCACGGCCGCCATCCTGGCTAGCTCTACGGCCGCAGGCGCAAGGATGAGCGCAACGGAGCTAGTGAACGACGAAAGCGGGGAGGCGATCCCGATGATCGGGCCCGAGGCGGCAATGGTCGCGGACGCACTCGACACGAGCCCAGTGGACCTAGCAGCATGCAGCAATGACGAGCTACGGTCCATCCTAGGATCGTCTGATAATGTGCATCTTGCTACGCACGGAACCGCCGTCTTCGAATCTCCGTGGCAGTCCTATCTCGACACCCAACCCCCGTACTTTCGGGTACTGGATCTGGCCGCCTTGACGGACTGCGCCGCCCGCCTTGTAGTATTTTCATGCTGCTGGAGCGGAGCCGGTAGTGCAAACCCCGGCAACGACATCATTGGCTTCGCGCACGCGACGTTGGTATCCGGCACCCAGGCATATATAGGTGGCCTCTGGAGAACTGAAGAAATGGCCTCGATGCTCCTAATGGTGCTTTTCTACCGCGAGATTGCTTTGCGGCGACAACAGAAGCAGAACGTGCGTTTTGCCGAGGTGTGGAGGAGCGCCCAGATAGCGCTCTATCATGCGGACAAGGAGTTTGTTCGAACACTTCTGGTTGAGGCCAAGAACATCTGGAGCGACATGCTACAACATGGGGAGACGAAGCATACCTTGGAGCAGTTTAAGCACTCGGAAATGCCTCGACGCCTATTTGCGAGAATACAGTAAAAAGTTTTACGGATGCTCCTGTTCGTTTCAAACACCCGGTTATGTGGGCTCCATATGCTCTAGTTGGAAATGGAGATGTGGTCTTGGACTAAGAGTGCATATTTGGGGCCTGGGGGGTGGGGTGGGGGCGGAAGGGGGGTTAATTCAAGGCCGTCTTCAGTTGAATCTATTGACTGGCGTTCTGTTTATTGTTGGGAATCTATGGTTCCATTTCTCTACTAAGAGGAGGAGATACTGCCAGGGAGACTCAGGAAGGCAAGCTTGCCCTACTTAGGCGTTGCATACCTTGTGGTTGAGGGTGTTTGCTCCCAGTGGCTGGGGCAAGGAGCTGCAGGAGGCTGTAAGGGCTCTAAGGAGTTTTAGCTCAAAGCCGCTCCACCAACATATATACATTGCTAATATTCTTCCTTGAATAGGTTACTAGGTACCTCATCTAAATCACAGACTCAAGTCTTGTAACCTATTACAATGCAAATAGAAATTTAAGAATGGTGTATATAACGGAGACTAACACGATCGTGGGAGCAGACGTGAATTATAAGGTGTAGTAAGAAGTTGTGATATTCAATACAACAGCTAGCTACACTTCAGGCTCTTAGTCACAGTGTACTGTTATAGCCAACTACTAGTAGTACATCTATTTCATAGGTAGGTACTTGCCTAGGCTCATACAACCTAGATTCAGAGACATATAGCAAAGCGCCTACTTAGTAAACTTCCTTGTCCGAATAACTAGGTACATTTTCTGACCATTGTACCTGAACCCTTTCGCCATCCGGGTCAACCTCTGTACAGCCGCGGACATCGGCGGTGAAAGCCCGATGAGCGAGACAGGGCATAATTTAACCTGGGACACTATCGGGAACTGGAGAGTCTAGGAAACCGATTGGCGGTTGGGCTAACGCGATCCTTCCCCAAAAGCCGGCAATGACTCGAGGACGGCGGGAATAAAGGATTCACGGGTTTAGTGTATGTCAGATGTCAGTTGTTTGGTACTAGCAGTGGTTTACCACCCTCGGGCCACCTATTTGTTGGTCGACCCATTTATTAGATCCCGCTTATCAGATCCGTCAGCCCCAACTCTATAGCAACGTTGCAAGGAAAACTATGGCGATCCTTTTTATCAGATGATCTGATAACGCAAGTCCATAGCATCTAAGCTCACGACCTGCCTTCTTCGGAGATGCATTCGCATCCTTTTGCTACCCTGTGGCCTTTCTCCTTCGCCTTGATCCTCCGTAACCCGTGTTTCTTACCTTATGCTCTTTGGACTCGTTTGGATTGTGCTGCTGCCTGCGGTGTGCAACTCGCCGAATTAAAACCCTGTACTAATGGCGCTATATCAGGAGAATTTTCGTCTCTTGCCTAGCACTATGCTTTAGACACAGCCTATAAGAGTGCTACTTGTCCGTTTGTTCATTCCCATTCGGTCTTCATTGAGCCCATCCCGACGGAGCCTGCTTCTTCTTCCTTCTCTAACAGCTCAAGCCGAGTTTGGCCTTGTCCATCGTCCCGAGTTTACATTCTAGAGTTTACTCCTAGCTGTGTATAAATTGCTAAAACAGCTCTTCTTGTTGCAAGCTGCTATCCGTTTACCCCAACGCCTCGATTCACTCCCATCGCAGTGTCTAGGTACATTTTGCAATGGCGCGGCCGAGACGATCGACATTGGGGGAAGAGGCTACAGCCCACAAAGCGGCGCCCGCCTCTGCGGACGTCCCTAGGTATGGCAGTCTCTCGCTTGTCTCAAATCTCTCTCAACGTCTCAGACTCCGCATCAGGCACTTACCATTGCGTTAAGGATGCTCGACGACAGTATTGGCCCTGCCGATACACTCCCCATTAGAATTCCGCATGCCCCCGCCAAAACAACCCCTTCATCGCCTGAGGGCAAAGCCCATACATTAGAGAAAGTGGGAAGCAGCAAACTCACGGTACAGAGATCCGGCCAAGTAGCCACAGAGGACGAAATCCGCGACTTTTTGCACGTTGTTGACAACATCCCCGCTCTTGTGTGGCTTGCTACGCTGGTCGGAGTGGCGGAAAGATTTACCTGGTATGGCAATACAGGGCCGCTGCGTACGTCCATACAAAAGAGTCTCTTGGTGTGGCTGTGGTCGTGCTGAATCAGTCATGTTGACTCCATTCGCGTCTTGTCTAGAGAACTATCTCCAGCATGCCCCTGACAGCGCCATCCGCGGTGCTCTCGGCCTTTCACAGGCGACCGCTTCCAACATTGTTAGCGCTGTCATCGCCGCCAGCTACTTTACCCCTGTCCCGGCTGCAGTGCTCGCGGATAGCTGGCTCGGTCGCTACTGGACACTGGTCTTGTGCTACTCGTAAGATTTGTTTTTACACACAACTGGAACTTATTCGCTACCCCGTTCATTTCCGGGCTTTGCTGAATCTCGGGTCCAGAATCGTTCTTGCAGGTTCCCTCATTCTGTTTGTTACCTCGCTACCGTCAATGATGGAGCGAGGCACCGCGGAGTGGGGAGTATACACGGCCATGGTTCTCCTGTCTCTTGGTTCAGGGGGAGTGAAGGCCGTTGTATCGCCCTTCATTGGTACGCTTCTCTTTCCCTCCTCGACTTGTCTTCTGTTGCATATTCCCTGACGGATAGCTCTGACCTAGCGGATCAATATGCGAAGAGGGACTCAACGATCAAAGTGCTCAAATCAGGAGAGCTCGCCGTCACTGACCGAGAAATAACCATCCAGTACATATACAATGCCTACAACTGGTGGGTATTTGACCCTGCTTCCTCTCAACACCAACATTGCTGATAGTTTTATCTGTTAGGCTTGTCAACATCGGTGGTTTGTCAGCCCTGGCCATAACACTATTGGAGCGGTATGTCTCTTTCTGGGCCGCCTACTTAGTACCCTTCTGCGGCATCTGCCTTGGTGCTGTTCCTCTTTTCTTATGGAGCAACAAGTTCGGTGTGTGTTCCCTCGCATGATATTGATGACGCTAGTACTTCTCCAGGCTAACACTCGGCGTATTAGTGAGAGAGCCTCCCGTTGGGACCACAATACCACATGCTACACAGGCTATGACCTATGCCGTCAAAGGGGGATTTCGCATGGATGCGGCGAAGCCGGAGTTTCAGCAACGAGAACGAGAGAAGACGGTGCCTTGGGATAACCGCTTCATTGACGAGCTCAAGAGTGGTCTCCATACTTGCCGCATTCTGTATGTGTCCCTCCATTAAAGGATTTCCACGTTGGGGTAACTGACCTATTTCAAAAGGCTCCTCTTTCCCATTCACTGGCTTTGCCTCAATCAAACCTTCAACAACCTGATCTCCCAGGCTGGTACCATGGTTGGCTCAGGCGTGCCAAATGACACCATCAAGTCCCTGGATCCCATCTCCATCATTATCTTCACTCCTCTCGTCCAGAGGCTCTTGTACCCGTACCTCACCCGTCGCCGCATTCGATTCCAGCCTATTGTCCGCATTACGGTGGGCTTCGCCCTCCTTGCCGTCTCGATGGCCGTCACAACCGGCGTACAGAAAGCCATCTACTCGGCAGGTCCTTGTTACAACCATCCCCTTGACTGCCCTGCCTCGAACGGTGGCCAAATCCCAGATCAAGTCAGCATGTTCCTGCAAGCTCCCATCTATGTTCTTGGCGGCATCGCCGAGATCTTCTGCTACGTTACGGGGCTCGAGTACTCGTACAACCAGGCCCCCAGGAGCATGCGGTCCATCGTGCAGGCGTACTGGCTCTCCATGGCCGGCTTTGGCTCGGTGCTGTCCATTGCTCTCACGCCACTTGCAAAGGATCCAGATTTTGTGGTTATGTATGTCGTCTTGACCGGTCTGATGGCGGCGACGACGGTCATTTTTTGGGTATTCTTCCGCCACAGCAACAACAAGGCTATGGACATGATCTAAATAGATGGACGTCAAGCGTAATAGGGTCAGAGTGTCCGCAACAATGATAGAGGGATGGCTTACACTGTACATACGGTACACCCGCCAATGGCTACCTTAGTTAACGAGATAAGGTAGCTAAGCTGCTAAGTCAGGTACCTACCTTATATACCTTGGACAGGACTTCATTGGTCTACATCCCCAAAGTGCGCCTTACTAAATAGGCCCTGCCGATGTTTGCTTGTCTTGTCTGCCTTATTTCCATGTGACCGAGAAGCGGCTACATCGAGAAACTCTAATCGATCGACGGCATGGAATTTGAAATCTTCCAGTTCTTGTCTTTTTTTACCCCGCAACTCTTCTGAGTCTTCTCATCCTGCATCTCCCGCACAAACCCGCAAACCAGCCCAAACAAAGATGGCACCGATCAACCCAGCCGAAGAAGACGCGATCGCGGCAAGCATTCTGCAGGAGCTGTCAGACACTTCATACGCATGCTCCTCGTTAACCCAGCTCAGGGGCGGAACCGCTAACTTTGTCTACCGTGGATTCCTGGCCCAGCCGTTACCCGGCGATGATGGGTTCACCGTCAAGAGCGTCATCATCAAGCACTCTACCGACTTCGTCGCCATTAATCGGGATTTCCCTCTCGATGTCACTCGCTGTGTAGCTATGCCTCTCCACCTGCCCTCGCTCACAGAACGCGGGCTAGACACTGACCCGATATCTTACCCTCGAACAGACATTCGAAGGATACATGCTCAATCCCCTCGCTGCCTTCTTGCCCCCTCCCACCGCAGACGCCGTGATCAAGACCCCGCGCCTCTACCACTTCAACCGCCAGACTAACACCCAGGTGATCCAAGACTTCCCGGGCACAGAAGACCTCAAGTCTATATTTTTCTTACCCGACGCCGCCGATTTCCTGCCTGGCCCCAGCCCCGTCACAATTGGTCATCGCTTGGGATTTTGGCTGAAGGCATTTCATGTGTGGGCTAGAGAGCAGCATCAGGGGAAACAGCACAAGGCGATAGGGGTGAACAACCCGATGCGGGACCTTAAGAGAATGATCACATATGATAGCGTTTTGGGGGTGATCGAGAACTATCCGGAGTTATTGGCCGGGCATAAGGAGGCATTGGAGACCATCCGGGATGCAATGGGAAAAGAGTTTGAGAAGCTGCCTGGAGAGGAGGATGGTGAGGACTGGGGAGTTATACATGGTGACTTCCGGTCAGGGAAGTGAGTCCTCCTCCGTGTTCTCGAGCTTCGTTAGTCCTGTGCATAGGTTGTTGAGTCGCTGACATTGATACACAGCGTCCTCCTCCAGAAGGAACCATGGAAAGCAACCGTTGAGGGAACTAACAAGCTCTTCATCATCGATTGGGAATTCAGCCAATACGGCCACCGAGCCTATGACCTCGGCCAAATGATCGGCGACCTGTATGAGCGCAAGGTCTTCAACGACATTGACATTGTGATACCCGTTATGCAGGGTTTCATTGATGGATACGGTGAGCTGAGCGACGACATGGCTTATCGGATTGCAATTCATGCTGGTGTCCAACTGATCACCTGGTACATTAGACGGCCCCGGACAGGTCCGTTGACAGTGCCCCTGGAGGATATCGTCGCAGGATTGAGGGTGGGAAGAGACATCATTCTGAAGGGATGGGAGAAGGATCGATTCTTTGAGGGAAGCATGCTAGCGTCTTTGTTTACTAAGTAAACCATAACAGGACAACCTCCTTTTATAAGGAAAGAGTCGCGGGTTATACGCATCTCATTGAGTAAGGTACCTAATCCTTACATCTATGGGTGTCCTGTCCAGGCCCGACGCGACGATAGCTCGCCTCTAGTCCGGGTTCATCACGGTGGTCTTCCGCCTCCCAACGACCAAGGCCAATAGCAAGCAGACGATCAAGTACACGGCTGTTGCTGCTGGAATTCTCATCCTTCGAGCGTCGGGTGGATAACACTGTACCCGGCGTATGAGAGGACTGGGAGAAGGCGGGCGCGAGTAGCCAGCAGACCGTTACATCGCACACTCTGCATGGCGACTGACCCCAACAAATCCTAACTTAGGGTGACCCAGTCACTACCAATCAACAGGACTCGCGAGACTACGTTCACTTCGACTTGAGAGTCGCTGGAGTCGCCGTATCATCCACCTCGATTGACTAGTCTATCCCCTTCAGCGGTCCAAATATCGTCTTGTCGATAGCCTCGCACTTGAACACTTCTCAGGCCCAGACCCATGCATCCCCTATTAGTTGACCTTCGCCTGACCCAATGTTTGGATGATTCTCGCCCCATCAAAGAGCCCGCCGCCAGGCGATCTGGCCCGGCAGAGCGACTTCCCACGCTCGATGACATTGTTGTCGCAGACCAAGTTGCTCTGTTGTACGCAGCTGAGGGCGCCGCCGCCTGGTAATGAATCGAAGCGTATTAGTTCTACTAGATACTGTCTCTTTCTCCAATTCTATGATCACTCACAGTTGTTACCGCCCGGAACGCAGCGTCCGGCCTGACCATTCGCGGCGGTGCATGCGTCCTGCTTCAGGCTCGTGTTGGGCACGCAGCAAGTTCCGCTCGGTACAGGCCGGTTGGCGTTTTGGCGGGCCATGACGGCGCGCTCGTCTTGGGGCAGGGCAGTGGCAAGGGCTGCAAGGCCGAGGACAATGGCGGTAAGAGACAGCTGCATTGTCGCGAGATGAAGGTTTGTTTATTTAAGGGAATGGGTCGGGTGGCTTTGAGAAAGTTGATGTGGAAAAGTTGGCCGGCCGGCGGTCTGAGGAAGAATCGAACTGCGAAGAGAATAGAAGATGGATGATCGAAAACCTGGAAGACTGGCTTTGGTTGAAGACGAGATGAACTCTGGTAACGGCGGGTTTACGTGCTTATATGATACCCGTGCATGTGGGCTCGACCTTTGTATCCACTAAAGGGGCTACTCTCACGATAGCGGGGCGCAAAACGCTACAGTTGGAGCCGAAACTTCAGGGAGAATCAGAGCCCTATACAACGTCGCATACAGACTGTTAGTTACTGGAGATTGCAAACCTATATCCCAAGAAGCATAGTACCTCATGGGTAACCGATACAACTACCTATTAGATTCGCTTCAGACAGGTGATTCGAATGATACCTATTGCATTCTGTTGCTCTGATATTCTTTAGTGAAAGTTGCTGCAATCCAGTGTTCTTGCCTACATCTCCAAGTCAAGCGACTGCGAATCGCTCTCGCAAGAACACTAGCTTACCCCAAGCATGGTGTTGAGACTTCGTCAAGCTTAGTCTGGAACACACCTTCCCTAATGCAGTCCCAGCAAGCGCTCGATGGAATGGTTTGGTCTCAGGACCGTCTCAACTTCCAAGACGAGCCGTCAAATTCGCGAACTGTGGATGCCAATCCCACTGACCCCTAGGAGATACAACGCTGCGTTTCAGTTCTCCCCTAGGCGATGGAGACAAGCCCTAGAACTAGGGATCAGTACACTGGATTGCATTTAACGTTACATCAACATGGCACTGAATCGAATCCCAAAAGTGATTGTGTTACATCTATAAAGCAACTATGTCACGGACCGCTTTAACGTCTCCTTATCCTAGAGGAATCTAAGCCTGAGGCCTGATAAGCTTGATGTACCGTCTTGCTGAAGATAGTAACTCTTGAAGTCTGGTATTTATTGATGAAACTTCTCTCACTGCAGCCGGATACGAAGGCACCGAATGACGAACGGTCTCGCCGCACTGATGTAGTTCAGCACCATAATTTTGTCCACCCATTCTCAACTCGGCATTTGGAGCGTTATGTCAATGCAGGTGTTTTACTTGACCGCACACCACCTGCTCTTGATATTGGGATCAATTAGCGACAGCCTTCGGACGTTAAGTGCTCGAATTGCAGAGGGATCAACAAACTTTTAGGTTGATTCAGGTAGACTGGTCGAAGAACTTGCCGCTAGACTTTCGATCCTCAACAGGCCGGCATTTAGAGCCCTTGACGCGTCGAGCCAGCCACTGACCAACAAGCTTCGAGTCTTAAACCTAGTATGATGTGATTGCGGACTTATGAAAAATATTTACCTCCCAACCCGGATTTGAGATCGTGGCTGTGATTCTTGATGCGTCATCTTGACTAGGTACTTCAGTAGCGCATTCATCTGGGTCGGTGATTCCCTAGGGCTGGCAGATGCTAAATCAGATCGACACAAGTGGATTCCCACTGTCCAGCCTCCATCATAGGGGTGGCGTCATCCGCCATCGGTCCATGTACATAGGCCTCGCCAACGAACGTGTAACAGTCCCTAGACCCCCTCAAGATGAACGGAAACGGAGCGCCCTAGGCAAAGCACAAGTAGTCGTCATGACGTGCGCCTGAAGGACAAATGCCCATATAGCCTTGCGGGGTGACGAAAAAGCACCAGCCTCCGTCAAATGTCCTTTCTATACCGAGAGACTCCAAGATGAGCCTGTAGGCAGCCTCGGTCTCTAGGGACGTTCCCTATATATGTCGAAGCTCATTTCCAGTCCCGAAGAATTCGGGATTCAACGCGGTGACGGTATACGTGAATGCGTCGTCAATGGTACCGCCTGCAACATATAGCTAGGGAAAGCCCTTAAAAGCGTTCATAACTTTGATGTCTCGGCCATATTTCCCTGACTGTTATGGGACAAACATTCCGGTGGAACGGATTGACGGCTCCGCTGTGCGGCCCCGTGGGCGCTCGGACCATTTGCGGTCGAACTGATTGCGACCGGGCGCCGGCAACCAGTTCGACCGCAAATGGCCAATTGGGCCGCCGGGCGGTTGCAGGTATAAATAAGAAAACCCATGCCGGCGGAGCCGAATCCGCCGCCCGTTTGTCACCGCAGCGCGTCGTTCGTCCAATGCAAGCAGTTCGGTGGTGTGATGCCCCGTTTGGCCGGATTTGGAGTTAGGTCAGTTTAGGGTTGCATTGCGATTTCCGTTTCGGGTTGGTCAGGAGCCATATACCAGGGTTAGGGGGGCCC